AGCCGTGAGTATCCGCAGTGGATGGTAACTGTAGTGGGCGGTGAGTATCGCAGTGGAGGGTAACTGTAGTGGGCGGTGAGTATTACAGTGGAGGGTAACTGTTGTGGGCGGTGAGTATCGCAGTGGAGGGCAACTGTAGTGGGCGGTGAGTATTGCAGTGGAGGGTAACTGTAGTGGACGGCGAGAATTGCAGCAGCGTGTTGGGGTAGGCACACATCCAAAGCAGGCACTTCATGAGCAAAGAGAGATTCGCTTTCTGTGTGTATTACAGAGTAGTAAGTGGAATGAGACCGGCACAGGTCCCTCTATGTAGCTCTCTCGTAGGAGGCTGAGAGCTCTGAAGGCAAGTGCACTGGAATGAAACTAGAATTCTGGAGTGCAAGTCAGGAGACCCAGGGCCACACTGCAGCTGTGACATTTACGAACCAATTGAATAGATACTCTTGAAGCTGCCTTCCTCACCTCCAGTGTGAAATCATAATTACATTAGATGGGTGAGCATGAATAAGGCAGCTTGCATGGAACTATCATGAAACTGTTAGGTCCCATCGTCATTTGTAGTTGTCATTCTCATTGTGATCCCGGTATGTGTGTGATGGTGGATTGTGAAGGTTTTGGAGCAGTGAGGTTCCTTGGCACACAGGACAAGTCACTTACCATCTATATGGAAGAAGGACTGGTGACAGAAAGAGAGAGTAAAATGGGAAGTTATTAAGTGGAATAAAATAACGACAAAAATAGCTACATATCATGGTAGCTCATAAACGTAAAGGGAGGAAAGGCAGAGACCCTGAACATATATACTTCAGTTTGGCATGCATTCACAAATTCAAAATACACAACACATAGGCTTGGTATTAACTCTTGGGACCATCAAACAAATGATGCAGCCTTTGCTGGAAGGAGGGCTGTTGCTCCTCCCAGGTGAGGTTGGCATCTGAAGGCGTCAATGAAAGTTGGGGAACCATGAGGGCAAGAGGTGGCTCTAAGGATAGGAAGAGGCTGGGTGAGACCAGCAGCATGCACAGAACTCAGGGGTTCCTGGGCCTTGGGTAGAACCTTAAGTACACTGAGAGAAAGTGGGTGAACTTGAGCGGTTGGTTTCCTCCTCTAAAACTAGAGAAGTAATCAGTCCTGCCTTTGGGGGTTATTAGATGGTTATGCTAAGCAAGTCATGTAAAACATTTCTATTTCAAGTGTTTGATTAATGTAAGATAATGTTTTACTGGTTAGACAGTTGGAGTGATAAAAGAGAAAGATTCCATAATGATTACAAGAATTCTGACTGGAATAGGTAAGAGAGGTCGGTCCATTCAACCAGGATCTAAAATGCAGATGAAAAGTTTGTGTGGACGAGGCCATCAGTGATAAATATGGTGAGTTTGAGTTGGCTGTAGAACACGCATGGTAAGGGACTCAGTAGACACCTACAATGGGCAGTTGACTGTCTGGCTGCATACTTGGGCAACATATACATCAATGATTTCTAAAGCCTCAGTCATATCCAGAATTTGCCAGGAAATAGAAAGTAGGCTGAACTCAAAGCATTTAGGGAATAGTCAGGGAGAATGGTCAGCAGAAATGAATGGAGAGGAAAGAATCTAGAAAATAGAGGTGATGAGGTCATGGGAGCTGAGATAATTAGGGCAAAGCTTCATGAAGAAATGTACATTCAGGAGAATCCAATGAATTTGACCATTGGAAGGAACTTTCTCAGAGCTGGTTCTTTTGAAAGGTGGATGTTAGGTCTTGGAAATAGGAAGGTGGGTTGTGAATTCATCAGGATCCATTTCATTATTCTTAAGCTACACACGTTCAATATTAAGTAGATTCTTGTGTATATATACTTGTGTGTATGATTTGCAGCAAAATATGATCAAATGATACTTTTAAAAACAGCAAGGAAAGTGGCTATTGACACAAAATATAGATTTACAAATGGCTGGAGGAGAGATCAAGATTATTCACCAGTCTTAAGAAGCCAGGAGGAAGATTAGGTTAAAGTGAAAGGAAGATGGCAGGATCTAGACCTCAGGAAGAGAGAGGACAAGGTAGACAAACAGGTAGGGATTATAGGTGAGGAAGCCATCTGGCTTGAGTTCATGAGGACCTGTAGATCTATCCTAAAGAGCACTGACATCCAGTAGCCTCTGGTTGTTGTCAAAGACCCAATAGAGAAGAGTTGGTTGTTAGGAAGTGAGAACCAAACAGGCTCAAGAATCACAGAGCACAGGAGCAGTGTCCAGGGAACATGAAAGGGGCAACAGACTAGAGCCAGGGTGAAGGCTGTCCTAGCTAGCTTGAAGTCTTGGACCTGGAAAGTCTGTCTTGGGTGTGTGTTATCACTCAGTGCCTTTTCCTTAACATCCACTCAGATCAGAGAAATTGGGGTGGAGATTTCATATAAAGGTTGTAGCGAACCTAAGAGGTTCTCTTGGGTTCTTAGAGAAGTCAGCTAAGCTGTCTGTTAGCTGGTTAGTGCTAGGTATTGAATTTAAAGGAAAAAAAATAGGCTGTACTGAATTTTAGACAGGAGAAATTGTCTTACTCTGAATCTGCTCAGGGAAGACTGGAGAGAACCAAAAATCTCACTCTTTTTTTTTTTTTAAAAAAAGGGCTGATTTTTCAGAGTTAAAGTCAGCGATATGGATCAGTATGATAGATACAGACTCAGATCATATCGAGAAGGGGGTGTGAATTGCTTGGGGACCGCTACAAGATGGTTCTCAGAAGCTACAGTGGGATCTTGTAAAGGTAGACGGGGAAAGCGGCTCAGGAAGGAGCCTCTGCGCTGTTATAAAGGAATGGGGTAGAGGGAATGACGGAGCTTCTCTAGTGAACGAGCTGAGGGTGTAAACCTCAGGAGAATTACAGTGCAGACAAGGACAGCAAGCCAAGAGGAAGGGACATGTGTCTCCTGTGACTGTTGTTTGTGAGGTCAGAGGCAGGATGAATGGAAATGTGTGGGTGGACAGATAGGGTGGGGGGAGAGGGAATGAAGAAAGGGAAAGATTGCCACCCCAACTGGGACAAGAGAAGAGATGGTGGTTATAAATACAGTCGGGGCTGATACACTAATGCTGTAACTTAGTGGTCTGAGCCCTGTGCCTGCCCACGGGTCAGTGTTCTACAGGGAATGAGTCAGGGATCAGGATACAGATCCAGGAGGACACCAGCCCTGCCCTTAGGATCACAGCTCAGTGCTTTCTTAAAGCTTGTTTGCTAGCGTTGTTTAGTATGAACTGTATAATAAATTCCTTTCTGAAAGTGCCACTTGTGAGAAGTGATTTGTAGGACATGTTCTCAACAAAGCTCAGTCACTCATAGTCCATTAACCTCTTATGTCACTTACTTCTGAATAGCTAGAAGGACACAAATACTTCATCTTTGGGCTTTTTGTAATAAACACAAAACTTGCATAACATATATAACATGCTGATGTGTCAAGAGCATACAATAACTGGAGGGAAGTTGAACGTGTTGGGGGTGTACATGCAAGCCTGGTGTTTATCATGAGTGATTAGTTTATATTTTATTTATCTATTTTGACCCCTCAAGATTACACTGTGAATAAAAAACTGATTGCAAAGAAAGCTGGAGTGGCCTTAGGACACTTCAGACAATTCATAATGGAGGAAAAAAATGGGTCACGTATTTGTAATTGATGACTAGCTTGCTCTGTAAAAGATTTGACACCATTTTATTTTAGACAGTAATTTAAATGAAAAAGGAAAATGAGAAAATTTGTGAAGAAAAAAGGAGAGATTGTACTGTAGAAGAGCCAAGTGGTAAAAAGAACATGTTAGGGGGAGTAAAGAAAACCCATGTGTGTCTTGATAGCTTTCTTACTTGGGGAGCAAGGATGCCACTCTCAATACAAATTCAGCAGTCCTACTTCCTCAGAGGAGAGGTGTGAGGAGATAAGGACGTGGGCCCTCTTGGTGTGTGCAGACTGGAGAGGGACCAGTGGAAAGCCTGTCGCTAAACCCTCCAGCATGTGTCATATGTGTCAAGGTGGGAGATGGCGGAGGTCCATTAAGTCCTTAATGGGTGGTTTAGAGTACTCACCCTCCCTTGGATCTTGTGTGAAATCTGCCCCATCTGAGGTTCTGCAGAAAAGGGTTCCTGGGGGAAGAAGCCACAGACTATCCTTCGATTTCCCAAACCCTGAAGGATCCTTTCTCAACACCTTACCTACCAAAGGTTGGTGAGAACACAACCTCCCTTCCACAAAGCGGATGTCTTACTTTTCCTTTTAAAACATCAACTTTGGCTCAGGCCTGCTTAGTTTTGAAAGTGAAGGCCAATTAAAATGCAGGGTTCAGAACCTGTTTTCAAACTATACTGATTCCCTTCGTCATCAGAAGTCAATTTAATCCCTTAATAAGTTATTGATGGCAGCTGAAGGAAAATGCTAAGCGTGAACAATGCGACCCCCTCCCTCTCCCATAGCTCAAGGAGCAGTGTGAGAGAGCCTGTGACGGATGACGGCACACTGAGCTCAAGTTGTGTTCTTAATACTGGCTTGTAAAGTTGGCATTGCTTCTCTCTTTACTCCATGTATGTGGCTTGTTTCATTCCCTCCCCCTCATTTCCTATGAAGTGCAATGATTTATGGAACTTGTTGGGAATTTCTTCTTTATCTCTGATAGTTTAGACAATTCATCCAATAAGGAGCACTAAGATTTCTACTGTCTTAAGCATGCCTTCAGAAACATGCTGTGAATTCTGTGTAATAATTTGAACCTCTTTTTGAACGGCATGAAGATGGGATGGTCTTCTCTTTTTAAGGTATTTAGGGAGAACCTTGGAGTCAAGAACTGGCCATTCTCGGATACACTTCATAGAAATGAGTTTCAAGTCTCTGTTATAAACATTCCCTCTTGGCCTTTATTTATTCCTGTCACTTCCGTGCCCTCCGAAGCATGCCCACATAGTACTCTACATGCGTCTGCTGTCGAGTCCTCTGAAAATGGTGTTTGTTTCTCCCCCACCTCTAGGAGATGACCTGGCTTCCTCCACTCTCTGCTATTCAAGCTCCGGGCAAGGTGGAACCTAGCAAGTTTCCGTTCCCAAATAAGGTGAGCACTTGTAACACGAGAGAGAAACCCCGTGGCTGTGTGGACATTCGGCGTCTCTTCCCCTGAGACGTTCTTGTCAGAGGCCTGTGATTCTGGCCTTCTGTAGTTTGTAAGGATGTATATGTTCACTGAGGTGGGTCAGTGAACAAGCTTGTGACCTCAGTTTCCATATTCTGAAAATGGTTGTTTTACCTAAGTCAGTGGTTCAGCCTTCCTGATGCTGCGACCCTTTAATACAGTTCTCATGTTGTGGTGACCCCCCCAACCATAAAATTATTTTCATTGCTACTTCATAACTGTAATGTTGCTACTGTTATGAATCACAGTGTGATATCTGTGTTTCCTGATGGTCTTGGGTGACCTATAAAAAGGTCCTTTGACCCCCAGGTTGGACTGATCTAATCTAAGTGTGTGTTTGTGAGACTGGAAAGCATCTTGCAACCATTCACACAGACAATGAGATCCTGTGTCCACAACCCACTCCCTTACACCAGAAAACTGTTTTTAATGGTTAATCTTAAAATGAATGCCTTAGAATTAGAGGCATGTAGTATTTAATTGTGCCTATCCTTATCCAATTTCCTAAGATTTAAAAGGGATGCCTATGTCTTCTAAAGGAACTCAGCCACAAGACACACTTAAAGTATACCTGAGTCTAGTATGCTTCCCATGACTTTTCTAAATAGCTAAGTACTCTTTATCAAAGATCAAATTATACAGTTAGAAAGGAAGGAAAGTAGGAAACTCGGTGACATCCCACAGCCAGTATGTTCTCTATAAAAGTATCACAGCCTTCTAGAGTGAATTATTGAAATAATTGTTCATTTCCATTACCAAAAAAATAAATTCTGTTCTAAGAATTAGACTTTGACTGCTCTCTCTTTACCTCTTCCTCCCTCCTTCCCTCCCTTTCTCCTTCCTTTTCTCCTTCCCTCTCTTTCTTGCAAATAGTCAAACCCAGGGCCTCGCACCTGCTAGGCAAGCAGTCTCCCAATGAGCCTCCTAAGAGCTGATTATATTTCCCTTAACCAAGTGTACTGGGAAGACCTTCTGAATGACTGTGGACAGTATCAAAATATTGGGTAGTATAGATTTGCCTACTCCATTCATAGAGGGAGGCCTGTTGTTTATGATCTATTACTGCAAACACCAGTATCACAGGTACTCTTTGTGAATGTCCCCTTGTGTGCCTGCCATTGCCTGCCCCCAGTAAGGACAGAAATTATGATATCGAACCCCTGGAAACCACATTTACACTTGGCTGTGTTTCAGGAAGTCTTTTTATGTATCCTAGCCAATGATTAATACTATCCAAGGTTTTATCATTGTGCCTGTATGATGAATGAAAAGTTGATATCTCATTGTTTTAATTTGCATTTCCCCAATTACTTCTAGCTTCGGCAATGGCTATTCTTCCTCTGTGGATTGCCCATTCACATCCATTGCCACTTCATAAAAATGATTTGTAGTTACTTCTCTTATCTTGTTCATTTGTCTAGTGCATATAATGGAATCATTTTGTAACTTTATTTATGAGCCTTTTATCTAGAAAAGTGTTTAATTTTTCTGTCAGAGGGAAGAAAACCCTCCCTTTTCCAACATTCTAACAATGGTCTCTATTTCTAATTCTAACATTTTTTTTTAATTTTAAAAAATGTAGATGGTGGAAGTTGGGAGACAATAACTTTCATCTTTGTAGCAGTTAGTAAATTACCATAGCACTGTTAACACATAAGCCCATTTTTCTCCCTGGAATTTGAAATGTCCTATGTGTGAACATTTGAATTTACTTTAGGTCTCACTATTCAGATATACCCACATGCGCTCTCTGTCTCTCTCTCTCTCTCTCTCTCTCTCTCTCTCTCTCTCTCTCTCTCT